GACCCCGCGCTTGGAGCGGGACAATGCCTTAGCCAAACAGTTTGCCGAGATTCTCCACCTCACCCTCAGCTTCGATGAGCTCAAGGTACCTCCCCATGCTGCCCGGGGTGGGAAGAGGGCTGGGGGGGTCCGCGGGGTTCCCACACTGGGACTGTGCAAAAGCTGTGAGCCAGCACAGTCCCTTGGGACCCCTGAGACTCGCTCCGGGAACCCTGAGCCAGCCATGGCCCCCACCCCAGCCCCTGACGTGGGACTCCCCTCTGCAGATGACCAACCCCGCCATCCAGAATGACTTCAGCTACTACAGAAGGACCATCAGCCGAAATCGCATTAACAACCTGCAGGTGAGGGGACAATGCCCATGCCCCCAGCCCCAGGATGACGCCCCCCAGTGGGGGGGGTCACAGGACTGGGGACAGCTTGGGGTGGGGGGGCCAGCCACCCCAACGGCCCCCATCATCCCACCCCACAGCTGGATGCAGAGAGTGAGGTGAACAACGAGATGGCCAACAGGATGTCCCTCTTCTATGCCGAGGCCACCCCCATGCTCAAAACGCTCAGCAATGCCACCACCAAGTTCGTTTCGGAGGTGAGCAAGGCTGGGGGGGAACCCTGGGGGTGTGGGGAAGCCCCACTCCGGCCCCAGCACCGTGAGGGGGTCAGGAGGGGAAAATGGCAGCTGGGACCTGCTGGGTTTCAGAACAAGACCCTCCCGATCGAGGACACGACCGACTGCCTGAGCACCATGGCCTGCGTCTGCAGGGTGATGCTGGAGACCCCGTGAGTACCCCGCATGGAAGGGGGGGCATCTCGGTGCCGGGGTCCCTCTGGCACCCAGCCGGGCTCAGCCGGCCCCTCTCCTGGCACAGGGAGTATCGGAGCCGCTTCACCAACACCGAGACCCTCCTCTTCTGCATGCGGGTGATGGTCGGCGTCATCATCCTCTACGACCACGTCCACCCTGTGGGGGCCTTCGCGAAGACCTCCAAGATCGATGTGAGTGGCCGTGGGGGGGGTCACAGCCGTCCCAAGGCAGCTGTGATGCCTGGGTGTCCCTCTCCCTGGTTGTCCCCTGTGGGGACATCTCTGTCTGAGCTGGCCCAGAGGGGAACTCATCCCCTGAGCACCAAGGAGGAGGATGGGGAGGAAGGGGAGCAGCCCCCTGGGCACGGCCAGGTGCTCACTGCCTCTCTCACTCCCCCCCACCAGATGAAAGGCTGCATCAAGGTCTTGAAAGACCAACCCTCAACCAGCACCGAGGGGCTCCTGAATGCACTGAGGTGAGCTGGGAGACATGGCGGGGGGACAGGGGACCTGGCACCCCCCCCCGGTGCTGTGGGACGGTGGCGGTGGAGCAGGTTGGGGTCCCGCGGGGTGAGCGTCCCCTCTCCATCCAGGTACACCACTCGGCACCTCAACGACGACACCACGTCCAAACAGATCCGGGCCCTGCTGCAGTGAGCGCGGGGCGGCCGCCGGAGCTGCCCCAACCTGCGCGCGTTCCCGTGTCACCTACGCCCATGACCATACCGCTCATTTTGTACAGGGGGAAAGGGACAAGAAGAAATACGCAGAAATACGAAAAAAAAAAAATCAAAACGG